ATCTCATATACAGTGGTACCTCGGGTTAAGAACTTAATTCGTTCTGGAGGTCTATTCTTAACCTGAAACTGTTCTTAACCTGAAACACCACTTTAGCTAACGGGGTCTCCTGCTGCCGTTGCGCTGCTGCTGCACGATTTCTGTTCTCATCCTCAAGTAAAGTTCTTAACCCGAGGTAATATTTCTGGGTTAGCGGAGTCTGTAACCTGAAGCGTATGTAACCCGAGGTACCACTGTAACAGGCTGTGAGTGTTCCACTCTTCTTCTGATTGTTAGCAGGTAGGGAATATCTGTGCTGCAGAACTCAGCTCAGCTGCCTCTGTGATGTGGCACACCCACAGAGAAGATGTCAGATTGTGGGTTTACCACCACAGAGTGCTGTTGGCTAGACTGTTGAAGCAGACAAATGCATGGCTTGTAACTTCTCAAAGTCATACATTCAGTCTCATGGGCTCAAGTCTGTGGAATTCATTCCCAGCTGAGGTTAGTCATATACCTTCCTGCTAAATTTCAGGTGCATGACCAAGACTTTCTTGCTCCAGCAGGCATATACAAGTAGTTTTCAGTCTTATAATAAATAGTTATTATTTTATTGTCCCATTTCCTGTGGATGGTTTTTCTGTACACTGCTTAGAAATGCAAATGATTAAGCAGGATACACATATCTTAAATAAATAAACAAACAACCAACCATGTTGTAATAAGTAGCTTATTTTATTGAAGCAGGAAAAGCTACCCAAGGATGTCTGCTCCATTAAAATATAGAACTAGATCTCGGAATAGGGATGTTCAAGTGGGAGGGGGCCTGATTCTCACTGCCCAGTGTCATTGGGGTAGAAAGGAGGTTTAGCTTCCATGCTAACGATATCCTTTACTTTCTTCCATAGCTGAATGATTGCCATTTCCTTTTACAGGGAAAAAGTAAAGAGCTCCAACTGGAGATACTGCAGTGATAAAAACAAACAAATAAGCCCACCCATGGGCAGAACACACTTTAAAAAAACATATCACCAGTATCAAATAGCAGGTTTCTATAGAAACACAGAACACTGCCTTATTCTGAGTCAAACCATTGGCCTATCTAGTTTAGTATTGTTTACACTGACTGGCAGCAGCTCTCCAAAGTTTTTCCCCAAGTCCTACATGGAGATGATGTGAACTGAACCTGGGACCTGTTGCAATCAAAGCAGGTGCTTTACCAGTGATCTACAGCTTCTCCCCTAAATTATTAGCATACCAATTGACATTAAATAATTTATATTAAAATGGTACTTTCTGTGCTTTTATTTATTTATTTTCATGATTCTTTTACACTTGTGTTGTTATTTAATTACTCATTGTGCAATGTGTGTTTTTACAATCCTGAGTCACTGGAGAAGGTGGTGTTCGGTTTTCACTTTCTTTTGAAAAGATGGGTAAATTGACCAAGAAAACTATATTACTGTTCCTATAGCAAGGCATGCTAATTCTGTTTTGGCAGCAGAGAGCAAATCAGCTCTGCTCCAAATGTGGGCAGCTGGGATTAGCATGCCTTTGACTTGCCTGTGTGAGAGAGAAAAAGTTGATCCCCTGTATAAGCTATCTATTAATATTTATTTAAACAAGCTACTTCTGTTTCCTTGCCATATATTAAATTGCAAAATATCTGTGCTCCTCTAATATTTCATCATGCACATGACATGCCTTTACCTCCCATCTCAGAACAGACATTTTAAAAAGAAAAGGTATGCATATTCAGCTTGGGGAGGGGGAGGAAGGGAAAGGAGATTGTTAGCAGCTTTGAGACTCCTTAGGGTAGTGATAAAGCGGGATATCAAATCCCAAGCTCCTCTTCTTCTCTTCTCTTGGCAAAACTGCTCTATAGAAGTTGGCTGGTAAATATCTCTACTTTCTATTATTTTTCCATTATTAGGCTTTATTGCCAGCTTTTAGTAGGTTCATCCAAGTTATCTTGAGGCCACATTGATCTAAATGTACCAGGATCTAGCATTTATCTGTTTCTGAAATGAGATATTGTTTTCATCCTTGTTTTTGATGATCTCCCGTGTTATGAAAATGCCTGATTGGTTTGGTACATTTGGTACACTTCCCATTTATATTAATCAGGCAGGTTTTTTTCATTCTCCCTTGGCTGATGTAATTCAGACTAAAAACTACTTTATCTACTATAGAGATTTATTACTTGAAATAGTCAAATAATGGAATCAGGATTTTCATTTTACAGGGGCAGGTGCTGGTGAAATGTTGTTGCTAACCACTTCTGAAACTTGCCAGAATTTTCAGTTATTATTAAGGTCAGGAAGCCAGAAGATAAATGGAATGACCTTGGAACAGCCTAATTTGCTTTTTCCTGTCATTATAGTAGAAATGATGAAGAAGCCTGAAAACATTCAGCTCTTCAGAAATCCAAAGAGCTAAAATTTCAAAGCCAAGATTGGGTGAATCTTATAGTTCAAAACACTTGCAAAACCATTCCTGTAGATCACAGCATATGAAATAACTTCCATAGTTTCAAGACTGTATCTTGAAGGGCATGACACCTGCTTAGTAAAACTGCAAAGTTACCCTGGGAAATTTGACTACCCATACGCATTATCTTGTTCTTAATGCAAGGCAGACCTGCGTTAAGAATTTAAATGAGGCAGAGTCAAGAATCTTAGGACCAATTCACATGATCAAACTGATAACAGAATCATAGAATTGCAGAGTTGGCAGGGACGATGTGGGTTATCTAGTACAACTCCCTGCACTGCAGGAATCTTTTGCCAAAGATGGGGCTTGAACACATGAGCCTGAGATTAACAGTCTCATGCTCTAGTGACTGAGCTGTTATAATGTTGTCCAGCGTGTAAGTTGGATTCATCTGAACGGATTCAGGTAGCTTTCTTCCTTGGTCCCTTTGCAAGCTGACCCACATTCTTTACAATACACTCTGTGAACTACTTCAAATCTACTCAAAGTGGGTTAAACTACGCCATTATTCATTTGGACTGTATTGATTTCTTTGTAGCACATGCTGAAGCAGTTATTTGAGTATACCTCCTCTTGCCAAACACAGACCTCTGAATCTACTCAGGCCACTGGTGAAAGAACGGGGGTGCGGCCTGCCCGGGGGTTATCCCTGAGGGGGGTGACATCGCCGCCCTGACCCCCGGGATGCTTGCCACGGGCGGCGCCCCCTGGAATGCTTGCCACCAGTGGCTCCCCCCTGCGATGCTCTCCATGGGTGGCTTCCCCCTGGGACGCTCGCTGCGGGCATCGCCCCTGGGACATTTGCTCTGCCCCCATGGGCAGCTAGCCGCACCCCCGGGTGCACAGCATGTGCGCTGCTCTGGGTGCTGGAGCAGCTAGCTCCGCCTCTGACTCAGACAACATATAAACATTGCCAATTTGGTTTTTTTGCAAAGTACCATTTCTGAACAGTGAAAGATAATAATAAAAAACAAGTCAGATTTTAAAGCATACATCTACTCATAAAGGATGGGATGCGGGTGGCACTGTGGGTTAAGCCACAAAGCCTAGGACTTGCCAATCAGAAGGTTGGTGGTTCGAATCCCCATGACGGGGTGAGCTCCCGTTGTTCGGTCCCAGCTCCTGCCAATCTAGCAGTTCGAAAGCACATCCAAGTGCAAGTAGATAAGTAGGTAAAGGTAAAGGGTGTTTCCGTGCGCTGCTCTGGTTTGCCATAAGTGGCTTAGTCATGCTGGCCACATGACCTGGAAGCTGTACGCCGGCTCCCTCGGCCAGTAAAGCGAGATGAGCGCCGCAACCCCAGAGTCGTCGGCGACTGGACCTAACGGTCAGGGGTCCCTTTACCTTTACCTTTACTTATAAAGGATGATAAAGCTATAACCAGTCAATTCTACCATGGGTTTTGAATGGCTGCAGGAATATACTTGCAGTAAAGATGCAGCTTCTCACGACATGACATATAATAAATAATTTTGCTAAAGCACATTACATATACGACCTCCTATCTAAAAAATGGGGCATTCGCACAATTGACATCAAATATTCACACATTTCCCATTCTGTTACAGAAATGTAAATCTTACATTGTCTTGTGATGAAATTTTTTTCATGTACACGTTAATAATATTCACACATGGTACAAATGCCAGGAGAGATACATTAAAGGTATACCAAATATGGCCTTACTTGTGACACATTTCAATTAACATTCATATAGGAATCACCATATGGCTTTCTAGAAGTTGAAAGCAATATATTTCAACTTTAAATGACATTTCCACAGTTAAGAATGCTCCATTAAGATGCATTTATCCGAATGTGCATGGCCCTACCACAAGTCCCCTCACATGCAAGAGCTCTTCTTGCGCACATCTGTAGGACAATTATGTGATCACACAATCTAGTTGGGTCATTTGTTTCTCAAATTTATCACAGAATGTTTTATTTTTTAAAATATATTTTTATTATTTTTTGTGATGAGTAGCAATAGAATATATATAGAGAGAGAGAGAGAGAAAGAGAGTCAATGTTTTCAGTCGTAGAACCTTTCAAACAAATCAGTCATATTCAGAGTGAGACATTACTGTAGTAGGAAATATGGAGTTGAGGGGAAGAAAGAGGGAAGGAACTGGGGAACAATGAAATTTCATTCTTTTACATGTTTTCTTTTGCAGTCTTGGGAGATTTTCATGGATAATGCAGCCAAGAAATATTAGCAATTGATATTTTAGCCATCATTTGGGTAAAGAAAAGGCCTAAAAAGAGAACTGTCATTTTTTTAACAGAATGAGATAAGTACCCTTTTCTACTGTCATCTGATTACTTGTTTTTTTTACAGGTATTTATGTTAACAACAAGCAATTACAAACATCTTGATTACATTGCACAAGGGACATTGTTGACACTTCCTTCACTCAACCAGTTCAAGCAAACATTCAGATATTTTTGACTTGGCAGAACAGAGATAGTAACTGAGGCTGGATAGCCTGTCTGAAGAGAACGTGATCTGACGTTATTCCTTATTGCAAATGCCTAAGAACAGCAAAGTGGTTAAACGAGAAATAGATGATGATGTCATCGAGTCAGTTAAGGATCTCCTATCTAACGAAGACTCTGTGGAAGACGCTTTCAAGAAAAGCGAGCTGTCGGTTAATGACTCGGACGACAAAGATGTAGATGTGGAAGAGGGATCTGATGTGGAAGATGAGAGACCAGCTTGGAACAGCAAACTTCAGTATATTCTGGCACAAGTTGGATTTTCTGTAGGTTTGGGGAATGTGTGGCGATTCCCTTATCTGTGCCAAAAAAATGGCGGAGGTAAGGCTCTATATTTACTCGCTGGCTTTGGTTATGTAAAGATTGTGACTGTTGGTCCCTGTAGTCTGTGAATCCCATTTTTACTCTTATAGTAATCAATGCTGTCTCCCAGACACAAACCAGATGTAACATCAGCAGAACAATCCTTCTGGACATTTATGGTGGGGGTAAAGTTACTACCACCACTGTTGCCCTACAGGTTTGCTGTGGGCAGGGCAGGAATGGGGGAGCTTATTCCTTTCCATTGGCTATAATTGGAGGGAATTAACAATGGCAGCCCTAGATAGAGGGTTGGGCTATTTCTGTGAGCCAAGGGACTTACCCATTAGCATACATACTTTTTTTTTGCTGGTGGGGAACCACTAATTTCACTTCCTATGGCTCCTCAATAGGTTTTCTAGTGGAACTTGGCTTGTATGCTAACCTCATATTTGAAGTTTTTTTTTAAAAAATCCGCACTCTAAATATTTGCATTTAGGGCACACTTTTTTAAAAAATGCAAATAGCAGCAATGGGGGCTGATAAGTATCAGGATCATAGCAGGTATCATGTAAGTATCAGGATCTCTTTCTAGACACTGGTTACATCTCTTTCAAGGAAAAATCTTTTCTGTTCTTGTTTAAATCATTCCTAAAAGTAATAATTCATTTGATAAGTTTTTTCTAGACCACAGATTGGCACTATTAACATGCTTTTTGCTTCAATTAAGTAAATTAATCAATTCATCAGCTGAAAGCAAAGGATTGATCACAGGTTGAGCCTTCCAAGTTCCTTGAATTAAGTGATTTTATACTGGAGCACACAAATCTATCATTCTGGATTATGACTAGATTAAAACGTGTCCCCGTTGCCATGTGGGATCTGAAGTAAAAGAGCTAACAGCAACTGCTACAAGTCCATAGCACAAGTAAAGAACGGACATAAAGTTACTTAATGAACAAATTCAACACCAGTCAGAATTACATTAATTCAGAAACAAACTGCATTGCAGGATTGTAGCCTTAATTTTAGTGCTGCTGCCATGGATATGCTACAATTGATTCTAAACCTGCACACTGTCCACAACAGTTTGTGGCCACCAAAGAACAAATTGGGGTTGTCCCCAGCCCTGAATTAGCTCCCAGAGTTGTAGGGTGGGGAGAGAAAGTTAAAAAAAACACACGTTAGGATATGCCGCTAAAATTATTTCAATAATTGATCCCCCCCCCAAGTGCATTTCCAAAGCTTTACAATTGATTTGGCATTTCTTTTCTTTGCCAGTATATGAACTTCAGTTTGTCCTGCAAATTACTGGCAATTATTCTTCCTGTAGCTGCAAAACAGGCCTCCTAAACTTCCTGTTGCTCTTCAGAGTTATTGGATTTCTCATAATTACTGGCTTGCCCTGCCATTTCTTCAAATGGGGACATTTGCAGATCATGTTGCTTGGTTTGCAATGTCAATATGTGGAAAAAAAAATGTGCCTGGATATCGGAGCAATGCATGCAGGCATGTAGAAAGAAAGCACATTGATTTTTACATTACAAATACTGGAATATAGCAACTAAATATCTAATCCATGGGAAGTATTGTATCAATTCCAGGTTCAGAGTAGACCCATTGAAATTAATCAACATGACTAACTTAGGTCCATTAATTTTAGTGAGTAGGGCTAGGATTGGGTACAACCAACCACGTTATTATTAGAGAGTTGATCCTAGAACATTTTGATCATTCTCACTTCGTGTTTGAAGCAGTCCATTTTCAGAAGCAGAAGAAAGGACAAGCTCCCTTGAATTTGGCCTTGCTTACGCCAGCAAACACTTCTGTTACTCTGGCACATGCTGCAGTTCAGCAGCACGGGAATTGTAATGAAACAACACAGGAATTGCGAGCAAATGCATCACAAGGTTACTTACTCACAAGAAGATCCAGGAAAGGCCATGCTGCTCCTTGAGTTAACAAACTGCAATGATCCTCAATATAAGACTGATATGGGCATCTGAAAATTGAAAGCAAAACTTCAAATTAGCTTCTTTTACCCCATGGTGGTAGGGAAGGGCTCCAGACTACTACAATCAGCCTTCCACTGAGGAAGCATCACGGCCTTTTATGTAATGCAACATGAAGGCCTTTACTGCCAAAGTGATTTCCCCTACATTATCTCAGCAAGCAGGTTGGCACCATTATTTCCATACGATGCAGTTGTCAAAGGGTGAGTGCATGTGCATGCACAAGATAGTCACTTGTCAAAACATCCACAGCTAAGCTTGTCTCCCCAGCGGTGATTGCTTTGCATGGTTAGCGGTGAACAGCTGCTAAAACTACATAAAAAGCAAGATCCATTGAAACAACAGCAATCAAGAGTTCCATATGAAAAGCAGTGTCTGAAAATAACAGCTGAAATAGATAACATTCGGCTACCTACCAAAGGAAGCAGTGATGGTGCCTGGTGCATTTCCATTTGGCAGGGCATCCCATAAAATCAACACTGTGTCAAAAATAGCTGTGTGCCCTGTACTCAACATATTTGGGATCAACCTTCCTTAATTTAGTGCCCTGCAGATGTTGGAATCCCAACTTCCATCAGATGCAGCCACCATGGCCATTGGTCAGGGATGATGGAAGGTGTAGACCAGTGATGGCCAAACATGGTCCTCCAGCTGTTTTGGGACTACAATTCCCATCATCCCTGACCACTGGTCCTGTTAGCTAGGGATGATGGGAGTTGTAGTCCCAAAAATAGCTGGAGGGCCAAGTTTGGCCAACAACCTCTGGAGGGCACCAGGGTTGCAAACGTTTGCTTTAGGTGATCAGGGATATGGAGAAGGCCATTCAAAGAAGATATAGAATGTTGGGGGAGCTGATTAAATAACCACTTCCCTTTCAGATCCTGAATTCACATGGGAAATGTAGCAGCATCAGGCTTTCTTTGGCAAAATTTAGATGAAGGTCACTTGCACACACAACAGTGTAGAAGAGTTTGGATTTGATATCCCGCCTTTCACTCCTTTTAAGGAGTCTCAAAGCGGCTAACATTCTCCTTTCCCTTCCTCCCCCACAACAAACACTCTGTGAGGTGAGTGGGGCTGAGAGACTTCAAAGAAGTGTGACTGGCCCAAGGTCACCCAGAAGCTGCATGTGGAGGAGCGGGGACGCGAACCCGGTTCCCCAGATTACAAGTCTACTGCTCTTAACCACTACACCACACTGTACTTTAGAATGTATGAATTTGTGGCTTAATTTCCAAACATCTCCAAACTGTGTGGTTGTTAATGAAAAATGAATCTTGAGTCTTTGAGAGGAAATAAAATCTTGAAAGAGTAAGATATAGATGGACATGAAAAGAGTTGCTTCCCATATAAAAAATGGGTAAATTATGGGTAAGGTGGCATCTTCTTGTCCTGCAGACCCAGAGCAGTAGCTGTTCCTGATCAGAGTCCCTACAGCCAATATTATAGCCAGGCATGTCTCTGGAGTGCTGATTGGTTGCCTGGACAAGGATGCACCTGATCCTGAAAGGATACATGACGGTCTGCTTTGAGGAATCAAGATGAAGATTATACTGCAGGGCCTTGTTTACAAGCCCTTTCCATCAGTAATTTGTCCACATGCCTCACTCATTAATTATATGTACTTCTTTCTATGCCAAGTCCACCAAACTACAATGTTCTACATATTTCCTCGATATCACTGAGCTACACTGACTCCTAAAGTGATTGTGATTTTCAGGCCTTGATATTGGAGATAGCTTATTGCATCCACCTATTAGTCTGTGCAGTTTTTGTTCCAGCCTTTGCAACTCTGCTTGATGGTTATACGCAAACACCACCATAACAGATATTTATGCAAATTGTTCTGCACTCCTTTCTAAAATACATTTCTGTATTCTCAATATTTCTCAACATCTTCTTGGTTTGACAGGTGCCTATCTTGTGCCATATTTAATTTTGCTGCTGGTCATCGGGATACCGCTTTTCTTCTTGGAGCTTTCAGTGGGTCAGAGAATTCGGCGTGGAAGCATTGGAGTATGGAATTATATCAGCCCCAAGCTTGGTGGAATTGGATTTGCAAGCTGTGTAGTAAGTACTGCTTGCGTAGTAAGTAATGTGACCTATTTCCCAAGCCTTAGTGCATACCGTGAGTTTTCCAAATACCCTTTCATTTTAAAAAGGAGCTAATATGCTGAAGGATTAGCTTTGTGATTTGCAGAGTACCTAAGATTTATATATTAAAACTAAGGAAGGGATCTGTCTCAGTGCCCACATAACTATGAAACTAATTAGCTGGCATGCCACTTGTTTAGACTACAGAAGCCTCCCCGAATTTGTGCCCTTCAGATGTTTTAGGCTATAACTCTCATAATTCTTGGACATTGTCAAAGCTGCATGTGGTTGATGGGAACGGTAGTCCAAAACAAATGGAAGCGGCAGGTTGGGGAAGGCTGGCATAAGCAGGTAAGGTGCTAAAGAATTTATCTATTTATATACCACTTACATGCCCAAATGGCTTCTAAAGTGGTTTACAAGTATAACACCAATTATAAATTCCATACATAACTAAAATACACAGTAAAACAAGCCAGTTAACCATTAAAACAGTTTAAAAAATACTAAAACAATTCGATCAGGAAGCTCAAGTTCAGGGGAAGGCTTGCCTAAACAGGTGTGTTTTCAGGAGCTGGTGGAATGCCAATGCTGATGGCACCTCTCAGCAAGAAGGGGATATAACTTTAAAACAGAGGAAATGCACATAAAATGTTTGGAATCTGCAGATGCCGTCTATCTTTTAAAGTGTGTTACCTGGCCATGCAATCGTTATATAGATTGAAAATCTCTTTTAGCTCCTTGGTTTGTGCTGAGGCAAAAAGCCAGTGGCAGAGTGGAGACAAAGGGAGAGTAACAACTGTAATTTTACTTCTGTATCATAGGCTAGTATGTATACATTTCCATGTACCCCTTCCTGTCCTCTATCTAGGCAAGCAAGGATATCCAGCTAGGAAGGGGGGGGGCACTTAGGATTTGAAGCAGGACCAGTGAGGTTTGTTGTTGGGGAGAGTTTGTTTAGTCAAGAGGAGAATTCTGACTGCCAGACAGAGTGGTTTGGGGGCTACATTTAGCTCCTGAGCCTGAGGCTTCCCACCCTTGTGGTACACTGTAAGCTCATGACTTAGGCCTGGCCCTGCCACAAGATGTGATGAAGTGACTTGCTTCAGGCAGCACCACAGCAGGAGTGTGTTTAAATCAGTCACTCCCAAACGCAGCCCTCCAGATGTTTTGGGCCTACAACTCCCACCATCCCTAGCTAACAGGACCAGTGGTCAGGGATGATGGGAATTGTAGTCCCAAAACAGATGGAGGGCTGAGTTTGGGGATGCCTGGTATAAATGATGCATCAAGACTTCAACATGTTCTTTCTGAAGTTGGTGTTTGTTTCTGCATCAGATAATAGAACTTGGCAATTAGAGAGCCATGTTAAAAATGTTATTTTCTATGCCAATACTAGGAAAATTGCTTCTGAAAATATTTTACTTTTCCCACAGGTATGCTTTTTTGTGGCCCTATACTACAATGTCATCATTGGATGGAGTTTGTTTTACTTTTCTCAGTCCTTTCAGCACCCGTTGCCATGGGACCAATGTCCTTTGGTGAAAAATTCTTCACATACTTGTAAGCATCTAGTGTATTAACCTACCTTCCTTCCTTCCTTCCTTCCTTCCTTCCTTCCTTCCTTCCTCCCTCCCTTCCTTCCTCCCTTCCCCTCCCTTCTACCCTCTGTTAGAAAACATTTTATAAGTTTTAAAAATGCTACAGAGTACAAAAACCAAGCAAACTAAAGAGGAAATCACTGAAAGCAAATATTTCGGTCCAAAACCCAGTGAATTGTTTGCTGACTCTCTAGCATTTAGATTAAGAATATCTGAGCACCGCAGCACTTATGTTTTGTATAACCATGCTGAACTGGAATGTTTCATATTGTTAAATTAAGTTATTGATCCTTCCCCAAAATACTGCTTTTCCAGTATGATTCTTAGCAATAACACTTGATAGCTAGCATAAACAATGTTATAATTTAGAAAGGGGGGAAAATCCATAATATTTCCAGAGGTTTTTTTAGTTAGTGGTCTAACTCTTTTATTTTGACATATAGACACTTTAATTGATTTCCTTGTGCATTTAGTTGCTCCTTGATTCAATTTCCCCTTATTGGGAGTTTTAAAACTCATAGTACTGGAAAGGAAACATTTCCATTTGTTTAGTTTGGCAGAGATACTTATGGTAGATTTTGTATGTTATTGTAACAGAGTATTGTACATATATATGTATATATATATATATATATATATATATATATATATATATATGTAGTATCTGGCATGCCAGAAAAGCAAAATCAAAGAATTATGATATGGTAGAGTTTGTCTTAAAGATGACACTTTCTGAACATCCACAGTGGTCTTTTTTGACTTGGCCTGACACTAGCATCTTCACTGCCCATACTTGGGAACCACCTTCAAATGCCACTTTGAACTAAATCCAGGGAATGTTATCACACATTTATGAATGTTGTAAGAACATGACAGCTTTGATCTGAGAAAAGTACTGTGAATCTCGAAGGTGACAGTCCCAGATCTTGCCTCTGGCAGGTCACATCAACCAGTTACGTTGACAGGAATCAAATGAGGTGGAAAGATTTAATTTTTTCTTAGTATTATACAGTCATACTTTGGTTCTCGAACGGAATCCATTCCAGAAGTCTATTTGACTTCCAAAAACATTTGAAAACCAAGGCATGGCTTCTGATTGGCTGCAGGAGCTTCCTGCACTCAACTGGAAGCCACAGAAGCTGAGTTGAACGTTCGGCTTCCAAAAAACATTCGCAAACCGGAACACTCACTTCCAGGTTTGCGGCGCTCAGGAGCCAAAACGTTCGAGTCACAAGGCATTCGAGAACCAAGGTACGACTGTACTTGTGATTATGTTTTTCATATTTTAAACATTATTAAAATTGTTTTAAATATGGAAGATGCTATGGATTTTGAATTGTGGCTAAAAGGGAGGATTCAACGAGTGAATTCCATTAGTGGAAGCCCTGTGCAAGAGCTTCTGCTTTTGCAGTGGGGCTTCCACTGCACCCCAAAAATCGGCTCAGGGGGCAGGAGAACCCCAAAACATAATGTAAGGGGGAAAGAGGAGGATCATTCCATCTGATAAGCCAAAACACTTGCTCTGACGGAATGATCACCTTATTGTGACATTGAATTCCAGCCAATGATTTTATTAAGTAAGTAAATAAATAAAAATATGGATCTGACTCAGAAATACAGTACATGTTTTGCAAAACATGATTTTAACCCAGGAGTCACTTGGATCCCACTGATCAGGGGATGACCCAAATGCCACATGTCCCGGTTACATAGGCCTGCATCACTGGTTTACAGAATGATGAGCCTGAGATACCTGTCAGTCTCAGCTACATTATCCCAGCATATAGGCTGGGATTTTGATCTCAGGCTTCCTGAGGACTGGTTTCTTTTACCTATGTTACACCAAATGTTAAGAGCTATAACATTCAAGCATCTCTTCTCGGCTCTTGGTCATCTGCTGCATCAACATTTATCGCTCACTCTAATGGTTTGTTTGTTTTTAAGGTTTTAGTGCAGTACACAGGAATAGAGATAGTCACATCTGTTCAGAAAAGTCTCTACTAAATCCACTATGAATGTAAGCCCATGCAGGAACATAACAGGAATTTCCAAGCTGGAGTCAAAGTCCTTAAAAGTTCAAAATTCTGAAAGCAGAAACAGAATAATTGATTAACTTTTTATTTAAAGTTTCTCCAGGGTCAGGGTTAAAAGATACATTCTAAATTTACTTGGCTAATTTTAATAGTAGCATTTGTATTGTTTTTGACCGAAACAAAAAGGTGCAGGTTCTGAAACATTTTTGTGTAATGTGCTGCATATTTCCTGTTCCTCTATCAACATTTACACTAAACACATAAATAAGGGTAATTGAATGTCACACTAATTATTTCCTTATTCTATTTATTCAATTTTCCTAAACATTAAGCAAAAAAAAAACACAAAAAATCAAAATAACAAAAACCAAGAGAACAATTGAAATACTTGTGAATAATCAGACTATATTATGTCTACTTTTATATCCATGGGAATTAGGCAATAACTCATGGCCATAATGAAATAATTCCATTCTGGCATATCATGAAGCATAATAGAATGCAATCTATCTCTAGGCTTTAATTATCTCCTGGTGACCACATGCCTTGATCTCCAAATAATAAGAGAAACAAATCTTAATTGCATTTCTAATAATATTTTTTCCTTTGCCTGAAGCAAGTATACCAGCAACCTTGAAAGTTGCCTTGACAGTTTGTTGCACAAATTTTCGTTATGAGATACATGATACTTGCTAGCTTGGTGTTACGTCTCAGTACTCAAATGTTCCCAGCGCAAACAGAGATTATGGTTACTGTAAAGTAACAGACTTTCCTTCTCTAAATAACTTGACATTAAATACATAGTTTCAGGAAGAGGTTTTTAAAATTGACTGCACTCTGCCCTTTGCTTAATTCAGTGGCAAAGCTCACATTTATGTGATCATAGTAGGATCACAGCCCTTGGCTAAGTTCCTTATTCCAGGGGATCTCAACTCAGGTCTCGCTGAATGGGAATTCCCTGCAGGAACAGAGTTCAAGAATATAGTACTAAAAGAATAAATACATTTTAAGAACCATTTACATTTATATAAACACTGTATCAAGTTTCCGATGTACAGGATTCTCATATTCTTGACAAAAGTTGCATTGTGGAATTTTTAAGTCTGCAGTACCTATGCACAGTTGCTTGGGACACAGTCTCATTGAACCCAATTGAACTTATTCCTAAATAAACATTTATAGGGTTGGACTTTGACAAAGTCTGATATAGTTCTTGTTCTAGTTCATGCATCATTTGTAAAGCACTATATATATGGATGACGCTACATTGCTGTTGCTAATAGTTGTAGTGGTGGTGTAATTGAAAGGAAGTCCGATGGAGTGTACATGTCTTGCTGTTCAACAAGTAAATGAATGTAGAAACTCTTCTCAAGGTCTTGTTTTAGTAGCAAGATTTTAAAAAAACACTTATTAGAGAATTACAGTAATGCCTGTTTGTCATGATCACAGTCCCATAGTAGGAAGACATTGCTTTGGAGAACAGGGCTCTTGGATTGATTGATTGATTGATTGATTGATGGATGGATGGATTGATTGCATTTCAATCTTGCCCTTCCCCTCTAAACTAAGGGTGGAAAACAGCAGAATAGCAAAGTAATGCAATTTCCCCCCAAAAACCTTCTAAAAATTAAATTATTTAAAAACATTAAGAACTTCTAGAGCTATTTAAAAAGTTCTGCAGAAGAGGGAATTATAGCAGCTGCAGCTTTCCTCATTACTACATTACAAATTGTATGTGCTAATCCCATTTTTTATAGATCCCTTAAAAGTACTAATTCCAGATATGAGGCAGGGCCCAGTCAAACCATCCTTTGGTGGGCTCCCTTCCTCTGTCAATGGGCCCTCACACATTTGTCTGCACAACACTGAGCAGTTGACTGACGACACCTTTTTCATTCCCCCCATGCTTCAGAATAATGCCTTGTCTGGTTCACCATGGAAACTTACAAGTGTCTAGATCCTTTTAATCAACACTGCTTAGGTTTGGACCAAGAAAAAATAGATAAAGGGGAGGTGGCAGAGCAGGCATTGGGGGTGGGCCCTGGCAACTCCCCTCAAAACTCTAGGTGCTGATATTGGTCCTGGGCACCAGTGATCTCTTCTCCTGTGTGCCTTGTCAGTTTACGATATGGACATATTCCATGAAGGCTAGAAATTAAAAACAAACACAACTCCCACCTGTCCAAGATAGATTACCTGCAGATGTGGTGCTGTACTGATTCAAAAGAATGGAAAAAACCAAAGCACTTGACCTGCATTTTCCAATGTGTGTGTCTGCATAAGCCACAAGTGGCAGTACCATGTTAACAAACTATAGGAATTAGAATGCTTTGTAGAACTGTCTACATGTTGCTTTCTATTTAGGATCCAATTAATATTTTAGATTGCCTTTTCCTTTTCTGATCAGTTGTGGAGCCAGAGTGTGAAAAAAGCTCTGCAACAACGTATTACTGGTACAGAGAAGCACTCAATATTTCTAGCTCTATCTCAGAGAGTGGAGGTCTAAACTGGAAAATGACGATCTGCTTGCTGGCTGCTTGGGTTATGGTGTGCCTAGCAATGATTAAAGGGATCCAGTCTTCAGGCAAAGTGAGTAGTTCCCTTTTTGTTTTCTTTAAAACTGATTTAAGTCTTCTTCACATTTGCCACCTGAATTCTTCACCACCACACCCTTTTGTCTATCCTCCCATAAAGTTTGCATGGAAAGGCTGGCAGCTATGACTCACCATGCTTTTCTGTAATCTCTCCAGTGGAGAAATGTTGGTACATCAACATTAAGATCGTAGTCTATTAAATACAGAAACCATACTTGGATAAAAAGAGAGGGAGTGTTGCGGTATGAGAACCTTTGTTTTGTTTTCATTTGCCATAGATAATTCTTATAATTGCATCTTGGTGCATAATTAAAAAAGAAAAAGGAAGAAAACACAACAAAGAAATGGGATTTGTAGTTGGCTTTCTCAGGATGGATTTCTGTTTCTGGATCTGGACTGCGTCCATGAAGCAAATTGCCAGGCCAAGTGTCAAAGATTAAGTGTTCAGGATGTCAATGCCCAAAGGAGACACCTAAAAGGAAGACAGGGAACCACATGCTAGACTGTGATTCTTCATGTGGTCTGCAAGTGGAGAAATGGACATTAAAAAGCATTTGATGACACCAATTGTGTATGGGAGGCTTGTGAAAAATGAGAGCCCAGAGCAGCAGAGGCATTGGATGAGGCAATGGATAGAGGCCTTGTTTTCAGAGGCATGGTTGCTCTGGAAGAAAAGCAGAAGCAGTGGAGATGTGAGTTCAGCACTGGAGCCAGAGCTAACAACATAGGGCACAAAGGGAAGCAGAGGGTCAAGATGAGTAGAAGCTCCAGCAGCATTTGCACACAAAAATGTCCAGCCCTACTGCACATTTCTCATTGCACATTCCATGCAACCATAATATTCTGGGGATCAGGGTAAGAATGATAAAATTGATCTGAAGATAATTTCATACAGAGTGACCCTCCACAGTCTATGCACCTACTTTTCCTCTGCCATTTGCCAGTTTCTAAATTGCTAATACACATGCCTGATGTTTGATCCATCTATGACTGTTTTGGAACATGTGACAGTTTACTTAAAGGATTGGCTTTTTTGGGAGTTTCTATTGCAATAGGAGATGCAGGGGGAGGGGTGCTCTTTATGGAATGTGCAGATACTATCCTTTCTTTGATGTACTTTTGCTGTGACATGTCCCAGATTGAAGATAGGAGTTTGCCAAGGAAGTCATACATACCCTGCCCTGATTCTTCTTTCTGCAAGTGGTCCTGACTCACCAGTCAAATGAGTGATGTCTTCACAGAATGAGTTGGGTGAAAATACTCACATGGGAACTCTTGTCATGGCCACCTTCCCTTAGGGCTAGAGGACTGAGTCATGCCAGAATGTGGTATAATAAAACTCGTGGCAAATAAAAGCAGATTATTATTATTATCATTTTTCACAGGGTGCTTCAGATAAGCACAATTCACTGGGAAATTCTCTTTCACAAGCTTCATTTTTAGTGGAACTTACACATTATGAGTCCCTCACAGATTATTCCATTAGATCCAAGACTCATGACTGTACAATGCAATCTAACTTTCATGGGACTAAATCCCCATGTGGGGATGTATGCTATTGCACATCCCTACAAATTCAGCTTCTCAATTTCATCTTCCCAGATTATTAGTTTATATATGAGATTGTGGTGGAACAGTTGCTAAACTCTTATTTCAGCAGTAATATAACTTCTGGTGCAGAAATGGTTTCCTATTATGACTGTTATTATTTTATTTTCTTAACTAAAATATAGCCAGTACAAAATTGTTGTTGTTGTTTTATGATGATGATGATAAGACTCGAAAGGCAGACTTTTTAAATATCTTTTTACCAGGTGGTAATTATAATATCAAGTTTCTTCCCACTCCTTCCATCCTCAGAGTCACAAGAGCCTTAACTCCTAAATTCCCTGTTTGTAACACAAAGCAGAGTTAAAGGACTTCAGCTCAGAACAAAATCCTTAGTCACAGTCTTGGATCCAAAGCTTCCTTCCCTGACAGAAGGCATCCTACTGTTGGAACAAGATTCCCTCCATTAAACAAAGGAAAATTGGGGCCACATCTGCAGGATACATTTAAAGCACCATGATATCACATTAAACAGCCAGAGCTCCACCCACCTCAGCCCTGGGAAGTGCAGTTTGTTAAGAGTTGCTAGGAAACCCCCTATTCCCCTCTCAAAACTATAATTTCCAAAGTGGTTCATTAAACCCTTCCTCCAGGGAACTCTGGGAATTGTAGCTCTGAGGGAAATAGGGGGTCTCCTTACAATTATCAGCATCCTTAACAAGCTACCGTTCCCAGGATTCTTAGGGGGAACCCATTACTGTTAAAATGTTATAATAGTGTTTTAAATGTATGGTGTGGATGTGGCCTTAGATTTAACCCAGAGGCTCTTGTGTGCCACCCTTTGGATGTGTATTGCTTTCCCATCTCAGCAACAATTTCCTTTCCCTTCCTTGTATTAACTGTCACTACAATTTACATGTGCACTGAAGTAAACCCTAGTAAAATGCAAACATTGTTCCCTCATAACTACAATGCCCCACTTTGAACCATGATTCCAATCCCTCAGGGAGTGATGGTTTATTTTAGCCCTGGTTGTTATCCATCTAGCATGAAATAACTCTAGAAAGGGAAGAATGGGAAGGAAAAGGGGTCAAGGGGCACATTCCTGGTGTTCACTCCCAATGTGCAAATTGTGCTTTACATGTATGTTGATGTGCTGAATACAACGCAAGGATCCTCCTTTTCCTGTTGAGTATTTGAATAAAGTTGGAGCCTTGGTCAGAAAACAAGGAGTTGTTGCAAATAATGCATTGGTCAAATACATGGCCAAATCACTAAAATGCATTCATATCCTTTCATGTTGAAGTCCCTTTCTTAATAGCACCGCAAGTGGCACGGTATACTTCAAAGTGTTTCAAAATATTTCTTACTTCACATGATTTGTTTCTTCTGATAAACAAGAGCAAGCTATAATTCTGCAATTCTTCAGATCTCTGAAGCAAGCACACAATGCCATGACGGGCTTTGGGAATGTCAGATGACCTTAGGTTTCTGAATGCACTGCGGATGTGGTTAGACTGTGGAAGACAAGGGCCATTAATGGGTTTTATTTTAACATTCCTTTCGTATTTTTCAGATAATGTACTTTAGCTCCCTTTTCCCTTATGTGGTACTTATATGCTTTCTAATCAGAGGGCTGCTCTTAAATGGATCACTGGATGGCATTCGTCACATGTTTACACCTAAGGTATGTACTTGGTTTCTGCCTATTATGTTTGATTGCTTTTGACATTCGTTTCATGCCTGAATAGTTTGCATGAACTCTTGTTTCAAGATCAGATTATATTGCAGTTAGGTGGAAGAAGTTAACTGAGTTGGTGTGTATCTGCTGTACAACATAAGCTCCATTAACAAAAAAATAAATAAAAATCTCATCCTTTTTACACTATTCAAACCAAGGCTGTGTACACACTACCATTTACTCTGCATCAAATACACTCCCATCACTGGTTTGGGAAGCAGTGTATATGTGATGTTAGCCACAATCTATATCTATCCTGCTATATTGTCCTTTTAAAAAAAATAATAATGAGGTACTGCATTTTGATGCATTCCCCACTTAAGAGTTTAGATCTGAATTGAGAAAAGGAACGGCCTAGTTGTGCTTTAAGCTGGTAATGTCTACACTGCCAAAATCTCAGCCCACAGGGAATAGGGACTTTTCTATCCAGTTAGCACTGTCTGCACAGCGACTTTATTCACACCCATTCTAGTGGTGCGGGATCACACAACAGGAAAGCTGCTTCGTGTGTGTGTGAAACCTACTTCAGATTACAACCTCCACTTCTTCCATAAACGTATCCAGTCAATCTGATTGAGATTATATAGTAGGGTAGCATGGGGTAACTAATCCAACATTCAACAGTCTTGAATATGGTTCTACAGACAGTTGCTTATGCCAGGCATGGTCATTCACCTCTGGTACAAAGTGCTTCTTGTGCTAGGGCTGGACAAAGATTCTAAGAGGGGCATATCAAAAGTGACCCACAGCATGACCCATAAAACACAAAGCCTCTGCCTCCATGCAGTACCCTCTTGGAAAATTCCCACTCAACAATTGAGAGCCAGTGTGGTGTAGTGGTTAAGAGCGACAGACTCGTAATCTGGGGAACCGGGTTTGCGTCTCCGCTCCTCCACATGCAGCTGCTGGGTGACCTTGAGCTAGTCACTCTTCTTTGAAGTCTCTCAGCCCCCCTCACCTCACAGAGTGTTTGTTGTGGGGGAGGAAGGGAAAGGAGAATGTTAGCCGCTTTGAGACTCCTTAAAGGGAGTGAAAGGCGGGATATCAAATCCAAACTACTCTTCTTCTTCTTCTTCTTCTTCTTCTTCTTCTTCTTCTTCTTCTTCTTCTTCTTCTTCCTTTTCCCAGCGTCCATCTCATAATTTCACTCTCCACAACGGCTGCCCCACCTCATCTTGGCCAATAAGGATGTAATCTTTTATTTATTATATTTCAATACCCAAGAAGTTCAAGGTAGCATTCATGGATCTGCTCCCTATACCATTTTATCCTCAGAACAATCCTGTGAGGTAGGCTGAAAGGTAGTGACTTGGCCATGTTCACCTTGTGGCCAATGACTGACTGAACTCCCCTGATCATAGCGTGAGTGGTTTCATATTTAGTTTAGAATATGGAGGCTTCCTGCATCATTCATGAAACAGGTTTAGCGTGTCAAAATCCACTCAAACAACAATCTCATTGACTTTGCCAAAGGTCAAGTTATGCTCCCACATTACATACATTCTAGAAACATTTTCTCTTAATTTACTGTATTTATTGAAGAAATCAGGAGTTTCAGTTGCACTGTTTAGAAGCCACATGTGCCTCACAACTCAGTTTCGTGCTTATTCACCTACGTGCGCACACCCCTGCATATGCAAAGGCTTACGTGTTCTCTGTCCTGTAACAAAGTGGGTTAATGTGAAAGCATCAGGTAGGATCATAGAATTGGAAGGGACCCCAAGGATCATCTACTCCAACCCTCTGTAATGCAGGAATCTCATCTAAAGTATCCATGGCAGATGGCCATCCAACCTCTGCTTAAAAACCTCCAAGGAGGACGAGTCCACAACCTCTCTAGGGAGACCATTCCACTTCCACAGTCCAGAAGAGGACTGCGTGATAAAATGATGGCAAGACTCTAGAGCAGGGCACCTGTAGCCCTCCAGATGTTGCTGGCCTACAGTCTTCCTCATTCCTGAGCATTGGTCATGCTGGCTGGGGCTAATATGTGCCCAACAAACTCGAGGGTCACAGGTTCCCCACCTGTAATCTGGGAATAAGGCCCATTGAACACAGTGGAGCTTACTTTGAGCAGACATGAATGAGGTTGCACTGGAAATCTTGTCCTGTTGGGAAGTTATAAAATCTACTTGTGTGTTCAAATGGTTGGTTTTACTCGCTATCTTCTAGTTTCTGTTGTGGAAAACTCACAAGTCCTTAGTCAAGATCATTCATACAAAGTAGCCACAAGTGTCTGTTAAAAAGACACTCCCTTCCCTCTAGGTAGGTAGAAGACTGGGAGCATTACTCATTTCTTAATGATGAAAAACTAAGCCAGAGAATGATTAAGAGATTTAGGAAAAGTCACACGGGAAGTCTCAAGCCGCAGCTGGATTGAACTGAGATCTTGCTAATCCCTCTGTAGATGGGAACCCCTGACAGTATATAAGAATTTTTTTCTTTCACATTTTCTGTGCACACCTTAAACAAGTAGTTTTGTGTGGACAGGTTTACAGAGAAGTAATGGTCTTTTGGCAGACAGAGCCGATCGCAAAATCCATTGGGTAAACTGCTTCCTTGACAAAATGCTGCTTTTCCTTCTAGTTTCTTATGATTACATTTAGATCCCACCTTTCCACCAAGGAGTTCAAGGTAGCTCCTTCTCCCTCTCTTCATTTTACCTCTCCATTGTCTTCAAGAAGGAGAGAAAGAAAGAATGTTTCTGACATTTTGCTGCTTGCCCCCACAAGGGTCAAGCAAACAAAAGTTTGCAAAAGAAAGAAAGAAAACAAAAAAGCCTTGGTGAGCACTTGCAAAGCAACCTCTATCACCACCCCTTCAATTCCTCTGCCCCAGGGCCCAGAAACCTGGAGCCTAACTACATGTGACATTAAAGATGTGATTAGTGGTAATAACAATAACAAGCATGGTGTATCAAGATTGCTGGGAGGGGATATTTAAGCCTATAGTGATAATGGGAGCCCCTCCCTAATTTTAATTGCATAGGAGGCAGGAGGATTTCATGAGGACTCTAGATAGGGAGGGAAGGTTTAAACCATTCCTCTAAACTTCTCTGTGTGCAGCAACTCCTCCATGCTTGGTATTTTTGTGTGTGCACAATATCTCTGCCAATCATAGCAGCTATGTCACATGTAGCTGGGCTTTTACCTTCTGAAAAAGTAAAAGAAGATAGACGCAGTGGGCCACCTCCTTCTCATGTCCCAAGGGTGAGCTTGTAGGCCTTGGCATTGCCAGAAGGTGAAGAGACAAGAATGAAACTAATCCTCTGGCTCAGTGGCCAGCAAGGGCAGGGAAATCTGGTCCTCAGGATCTTCTTCAAATATCCACTGCTTTAAGCTGAGACATCTTCCTAGAGGGGCTTCCTGGACATTTTGTAATGCCAGGTTCCTTGAAGTCATCTCAACGCAGGCTAGTCACATCAGGGGCAAAATCAGAAGCCAAAATTTGGTGCCTCCCCTGCCTCTCACCTTCCATTTTGCTCAGTTCACTACATCATAGTTGTAGCGCACTGAGGCATCTCTTAGAACTGGTCATACTGCCCTAAACTTGCTTCTCATCGCATTTAAAGGTAAAGGTAAAGGACCTCTGACAGTTAAGTCCAGTCGCAAATGACTCTGGGGTTGTGGCGCTCGTCTTGCTTTTAGGCTGAGGGAGCCGACATTTGTCCACAGACAGTTTTCCAGGTCATGTGGCCAGCATGACTAAACTGCTTCTGGCGAAACCAGAGCAGCACATGGAAATGCCGTTTACCTTCCCGTTGGAGTGGTACCTATTTATCTACTTGCACTTTGACATGCTTTCAAACTGCTAGGTTGGCAGGATCTGGGACCGAGCGATGGGAGCTCACCCCGTCGCGGGGATTTGAACCGCCAACCTTCCAATCGGCAAGCCCTAGGCTCATTGGTTTAGACCACAGCACCACCCGTGTCCCCTCATCACATTTACCTAGGACCAAATTCCATTAAACACAATTGCAGTAGACGTAGACAGGACTTCACTGTAAACACAAACATTAATCCTAACTGTGAAACTATTGGTCCATCTAGAGTTAATGTCATCTACTCTGACTGGCACCTGCTGTCCAGGGTATCAGATATCTTGCCCAGCCCTACCCAGGGATGGCAGGGATTGAATTGAGCCCCCCCCCTGCAAAGCTTATGCATTCCCACTGAACCAAATCCACCAAAATTCTGCACATGTTCACTCAGAAGTAATTCTGATTTGCTTCCAAGTGAGTGTGCTTATGAAGGTAATTGTACGTAGGATGGCACCCTCAAATCTCCATTTCTATCTATTAAATGATGGGGTTATAAGGCTTGATAGGTAGGTTCCCCTGAAATCAGTGAAAATTACTTAACATGCATTTAGGGCAAAATTGTAGGGAGAGCTTTTCCAATTACATGTAGAATTCCCCAAGCCTTAGTTAGATTTCTTCAAAGCAGTGGGCATGTAGAAGGATGACATCCCAGTTAACCTCCGGTGGAAATTCAAACAGAATGAAGTATGTATATTTAGCACCATCTAGTGAGCAAACTTTGCCATAACTGTACGGTGATGCTTTGCCTCACCTGTGGCACTGTGTAGTGTTTCTATGGAGAAAGTTTCCTGTCTAAATGTTTTTAATTATACTTTATAGTACAGAAAAATCTCCTTTTACCTGTGGAAAAGATTTAGGAGATTATTTAGAAAGTTTTGTAATGCTGAAACATTTGCTTTTAATAGAAATCATAATGCCTAATAGAGATGTAAATAATGGAACAATGGTTTGTTTTGTGACTCTTTATTTACTATTAGAAGGCTTATCTAGAAGGAAAACCTATTAAACTCAGTAATACTTTCTTCCAAGCAGGAGTGCATAGTACTGCATTATAGTAATTCTAATGACATCTAAAATATATCTAAAAATTCACCTTCATTCTTTATCTTGCTAAAAATTTGTTCAGTTGCTTTGATCTTCATAGAAGAAATCTCACATACTCACATCAACATTAGCTGTCCTAGTTTCATTATTTATTTATTGTATTTACATGTGCAATTTCTAAACCACCCGTCATCAGTTATGATCACATGGCAATTTACAGTCAAACACCAGTACAGTAAACCAAAACAATAAAATTCCAGTAATGCTTGGAAAACAGCTCCTGGAATGATAGTTTGCCTGTTATTTTGGCAGCGACGATATTTTGCACCCTATTCAATTAACAACATAGAAATAATAATAATGCAGTAGTGTCTAAATATTTTTTTGCTGCTTATAAACACAGCTGCACAAAACCCTTGTTGACTGACATTGATGAAAGCTGTTTTTAAAGTGTGTGTGATTAGCAAATATATTGATTTTTGGTTGATGTATTTCTTGTGATGCATTTTGACCAACCTGCAATGCAAAAGAATGAGACAATGTACAGAATGCAAATTCAGTTTGTGGATTGAACGTTTGAGTGTAAAAATTAGGGTGCTGGGGGTTTTCTTCCTGGATTATTTGTTGCCTCTCCATTTAGGAGAAATGCTGTATTTTGTAGCTGACATGTATTGTGTCTAATTTCAAACAGCTTGAAATAATGCTGGAGCCCAAGGTCTGGAGAGAAGCTGCTACTCAGGTGTTCTTTGCCTTAGGGCTTGGATTTGGTGGAGTCATTGCCTTTTCAAGCTACAACAAGAGAGACAACAACTGCCATTTCGATGCTGTTCTGGTGTCCTTCATCAATTTTTTCACTTCTGTGCTGGCAACTTTGGTGGTGTTTGCTGTTCTGGGCTTCAAAGCAAATATCATAAATGAGAAATGCATTATCCAGTATGAATATTCATTTCCTTATCCATTTTTATAGTATATTTCACTTAGGAATTCCCACAGCAATTCTTTGGATTGATGGTGTGTATGCCTATATTCCCTTGTGTTTTGCAGAAATTCCGAGAAGATTGTCAATCTTTTGAATGTCGGCAATCTGAGCAAGGCTATTATACCTCATCATATTAATTTATCTAGCATCACAGCAGAAGATTATAATTTGGTTTATGATATAATCCGGAAGGTCAAAGAAGAAGAGTTTCCCCTTGGTCTAAAACCTTGCCAGATTGAAGATGAACTTGACAAGGTGAGAGTGATACTTCCATCTTTGATGCAAAGATTACAGACTGTTTTAATAATCCTTATTTTTTTAAAAAAATAATATTTATTAATTTTCAACCGTTTAAAGACAACAAAGCAGAAAGACAGAAAAAGAAAGAACAAAAAACACACAAAAAAAGAAAAACATAAAACTGACAAAGCAAAACACAAACCATTTCAAACACAAAACAATTTCAATGTCTTATCTTTCATTCCCTTATTTCCACGACCTCCTCACACCTCCCTTTTTGTTTCCCACTTCTATTAATTATTTCAGCAATTCCTTTCCATCTTCCTCTGTTTTCTATCCTATAATTATCTTAACATATTCTAGCCTTATTTTCCCTTTAATACACTATTAATCTATTTATACTTAATTCCTTATAGCATTTCTACTAAAGCCATATAATTCCATTCCAACATTTTTCTAACATTCATTATTTTTACAGTATTTCTATAAAAAGTCTTAAACTTTTTCCAGTCTTCTTCCACCAGCTCTTCTCCCTGGTCTCGGATTTCTGCCAGTCGTTTCCGCCAATTCCATATAGTCCATCAACTTCATCTGCCATTCTTCCCGAATGGATAAATCTTGTGTGTCTTCCAGTACTTCACAATGAGTATTCTTGCTGCTATTGTTGCATAAATGAAACAAATTCTATCCTTCTTTAACACCAATTGGCCGACCATGCCCAGGAGAAAGGCCTCTGGTTTCTTCGAAAGGGTATATTTAAATACCTTTTTCATTTCGTTGTGAATCATCTCCCAGAGTGTCTTAATCCTTGGGCATGTCCACCAAAGGTGGACTCTAATCTTCAAATTCGTATGTTTTTCTTTAAGTTCAGTCATAGCAAGCGTCAACTTATGTTTATCCAATTGCCTCTGTAGGGCTGTTTTAATAATCCTTATTATAATCCTTATTATAATCCTTATTGACTGCAGGACAATTTTGATATTTATATATATTTTCCACTTCCTAATAGCTAATAGCTTTTCTGACTCCATTGTTCTGCTCCCTCTTTCCTCCTCCTTCTCTCTTCATTGATTTTGCCCACCTTATACAATATTTTGACTTGATTTGCCCCTGTTTTGCCACCCAGGTTTAATGCTTTGGCTTTCTCCTTGGCAGGCTGTTCAAGGAACTGGTCTAGCTTTCATTGCCTTTACAGAAGCCATGACCCACTTTCCTGCTTCTCCTTTCTGGTCAGTGATGTTCTTCCTTATGCTGGTTAATCTGGGGCTTGGCAGCATGTTTGGAACCATTGAAGGCATCACGACACCAATAGTTGATACTTTCAAAGTGAGAAAAGAAATTCTGACTGGTGAGTTGTTACGGATTTCTTTTCTTCAGTTCTACTTCATTCTAGGAAATGTTAACAATCAAAATGATCCGCTTGGAGACATGGGGGCAGAAAATTCCATTTCTACCAACACGAAACAAGTTGCCAAAATTTTGCAGCCATAATTCTTCACAAATAAAAAGAAACGAGACCTAATTATATTAGGGGTTCCTATATTAAAAAGAGTGACAAGTGAGCCACATATTCTGAACTCATATATTTGACAGTGGTTTGTTCAGAAACATGGTAAAGGGTAAAGGAAACATGGATATATCATTCAAGGACATAATTTAGTACAGAAGCCTGAAATCTTTCTTTTTCAAAGCAGAGTGCTATTTTCTCCTGTTCTGATTACCATTCATCCATTCCTGTACTATTTAGCTGAAGAGTCATATTTCAATGGTAAGGCAATTGTTTTTCATTGCATAAAGTCCTGGGTTCAAACCCCAGCACCTCCAGGGAGGGCTAGGCATGCCCCTGGTCTGGAACCCTGTAGAGTCACTGCCAACCTGTGTACACAATATTGGACTCGATGGACCAATGGTCTGACTTGGCAGCGAGGAGATACAGTAGTTTGTTTTGTTTCTGAATGCAGGAGAACCTCTCTTCACAATTCTGGATACTGAAACCACTATCTCTACATTTGTTTGCTTGTTTGTTGTACTTATTTATACAGGGCAAGTCCTTTAAAAGAGGCCCAGTGGATACAGAGTACACATGTTCCACAGGGCCTCTTTTAAAAGACTCACCCTGTAGTTACAGTATTTGTGTCTCTTCATACAACATGAAACCAAGCATAAGAGCAAGAATAAAATAGGAACCTAAAATGCTCATCCATAAATATATATATAAGGGCAGATCCAAATCAAACCCAACCCATGGCCAAGTTGAGCACGATCATTTTTACAGTTAGAGGAGGTACCACATTCACTTAATCATGAAATCTCCCATGTCAGGTGTTCACTTCTAGCATTTTGAGGGGTGTGAGGGTCAGAGTGGGGAAAGGCTCAAGTCCATTCTCAGTCTCACCACATCTGGAGGTGAAGGGTAGGGAAGAAATGAGAGAACAATCCCCTTGTATTCCCTTACTTTACAATAGCCTCTTCCGTGCAAGAAGAAAAGATACTGTATCCACTAACCCAAAAAAATAATAATAATCAGAGAAGCACTGTATCTAGAATATATCAAGAATATGAATGGATGTTTGATATCTCTTCCCTTATCTTACTTCTGTGCTTTATTGCAGTTGTCTGCTGTCTTCTGGCCTTTTGCATTGGCTTAATATTTGTACAGCGGTCTGGTAATTACTTTGTAACTATGTTTGATGACTATTCAGCCACATTGCCTTTGCTTATTGTCGTCATTTTGGAGAATATTGCCATGTCTTATGTTTACGGGATAGACAAGTAAGTGCACATCTTGAGTTGTTCATATAGCTAACATTGTTGGCAATTATGAGCATCACAAAACCATACATTAGCAGCAGCCCACTTGAACTAATGATGTTCTTTTTTCTCCACTGCCTCTCCCACTCCAGATTCATGGAAGACCTAAAGGATATGCTTGGCTTTTCACCAAATCCGTACTATTACTATACATGGAAATATATCTCCCCAATTGTTTTGTTATCTTTGCTGGTAGCTAGCATTGTCCAAATGATATTAAGTCCCCCTGGTTACAATGCATGGATTGAAGATAAGGTGAGTGATGATTTTTAAAAAGAAACATGCATCACCAATGACTGTAAGTTTTAGGCATATAGAGTGCATATATGACCACATAGATTCTTTTTGCATTGTGTTTTATAAATGCACACAAAGTGCACAGTGCTGCTAGATCACTGCAGCAACCTTGTAAATAACCCTACAAAAATAAAATAAACTCTGCAGACAGATTAATAGCCTGTATTTTTATAGTAGCTGTTGAGAAGGGGACGTTTCTCCTCCTCTGTAGCCAGCATGGAAACATAGAACAGGACATCTTAACAGTCTGGAAAACAGACTTGTGTGAGAGAGATGGAGTGATCCATTCTTCCTCTACTAGCTTACTGTGTTTTAATGCTTGTTGTGAAGGTAGAGACTTATCTTCGTCCGCTACTGGCATAGAAACCAAGAGGACTTGCAAAAGAATGACAGAATGATCTAGAAGGGGGCATCCACCTGCTCTATCAGCTTCCTCACTTGCCTGCATGAATCCCTTGTTGCCAATGGCGGTCAGATGAATTGTTACATACAAGGCTATATGGCACAAAAAGGGACTTGATCTAATTACCCTACAATTGCATGAAGGTTGTCTTTTAAGTGTTTTATTAATGCTCATATATGTGCATTGGTGATGTGGAGGATGTAAAAGGCCTGTATTAATGGAAGGAGCTGTGTGGCAGACTGTGGGCACATAGTTCACAACTGCACACAGTTTGCAACATAAAAAAGAACAGAAGATTCTTAATGCATCAATTGTACTTTTGGGGGGGGGGGGGACAGGGGAATTTTGGAATTTCAAAAACCAGGGAGAAATTTGGATAAGGAGAATTTTGGAAACACCTCTATTTCTGCACTTACAATTTGGGGAGGAATTAATGAAACAACTTAAAAAAGAAAGGTTTCTGAGAGAGCAGTACAAGCCTAGGCTTAAGGAAGGCAGATGTGCAAATGATCTTTCTGAATTTTTTCTTGGTCTATGCAGGCGACCGAGGAATTTCAAAACTACCCAACCTGGGGGCTGATAGTCTGTGTGTCCTTGATTGTTTTTGCAATGCTCCCTGTCCCGGTAGTCTACCTGATTCGCCGCTGCAACCTTATCGACGATAGCTCTGGCAGTTTGGCAGCGGTTTCCTACAAAAGGGGGCGTATTATAAAGGAGCCTGTGAATCTCGAGGGAGATGACACCAGCCTGATTCATGGCAAGAGTCCAAGCGAGGTGCCGTCTCCAAATTTTGGCAAAAACATATACCGGAAACAGACTGGTTCTCCAACTGTGGACACTGCCCCCAATGGCCGCTATGGTATCGGTTACATAATGGCAAACATGTCGGATATGCCAGAGTCTGACTTGTAGCTGCAATGCAGTGTTGATGCCTCTGTTTTTGGAACATTTGTTTCTCTTAAGAGAAGTGGTCAGCCTCACTTACCAGAGTGCAATCTCAGGTGCCCCATGACTCTGTGCTTAAAAACATCCTGACATGTGGTACAAACAAACAGCTTGACAATTCCCTTTGGCTTGATTTTTTCTGGTTTCCATTTGTACTGAAGGGAATGCACATAAAAATATCAGTCAGTGATGGCATAGCCTTGCCAGGATTGCCAATTTTTTAAAGAATTATTTTTGCATTTAATTTGAAAGTTTTCTATCTTTAAAGTACAGGTGTTACCTCAGTTTGTAACAATTTTTTAAGTGAATTCATATTTCTCTACTGCTGTAACTGGAATTTCCTTCTTTGTTCCTGCAAGTTAACTCCCCCAGTATTGGAAGAAAAAATTAGCTCCAAAGAGTTCGCCAATTCTGTATTGACTGCACTTATTTGTACATACGTTTTGTAGATATCCTGTACTTTTTTTAAGCACTCGCAATTCCTTAGGCTATTAGCTGAGTAAAGAAAAGCAAAACAAACAAATTTTAAACCCTGCAGATTATTTTCTTACATGTAATAGCTGTATAGAGCAATAGTATTAGAAAACCAAGTATAATGATGCTGGAAACACAAAATTCCTCACACTCTGGGGAACTGCATATGATGTGGCTGTATTTTACATACTATATTTGGTTTTTTCAGTGTGAAAATTATGTAAGACTGAGTCGCTCCAAGACTCTTAAAAGATTGTGCAGATTCTGCATTTTTCTAAGCTGTGTGCCTAAAATAAAAATAAAAACCCTTCCTAATATTTATTGTGGTTACAAGATTATATATATTATATTTATATATAATATACTTGTAATGTACATATGTATAGTAATGTTGTATGTAACAGCTTCAAACCCTGAAGCAAGATGGCTTTAAACCTGTTTTTTTTCTGTTTTGCTTGTTTTATGCAAAAAAGAAATCCCCTCCTAAGTCAGTGATAATTAAAAATTGTATACCATTACATTTAATCTAGGAATAAAGAGTGTGGAAAGGTGTTTTCTTTGTACTTTCTGGAAATTTGGGGCTGGATTTGGGGCAGGTGGTCCCTAGCTAGCCCAGGTTGGTGGAGCTAAGTGTTCCTATTTAAACATCCATAATTAAAATGTACAACAAACAAGCCCATTAAACCAGCACATAAATTAAAACAGCAATGAAAACAATTAAAACAAGAGGTTAAAGTTTGGAGATCAGGGAACTGCTTGTCTATACAGGCGTTGTCTTCAAGAGCCGGCAGAATGCCAATACTGATAGGGTCTTTCATACTTAATACATTTACTAGGCAGTGGAGGGGATGTACCAATGTCTCTGCAGGACAGCCAGGCTGAACAAAGAAGCTGCATATTTGAAAACAGACTCAGACGAATGGAACCACCAATGTTTCTGTGTTCTTGATTGCTGGAGCAGAGGCCTGCTGAATTCTGGGTCTGTCTTGAAATAGCCAGGCTTTTGTGTAGCTGTGCAAATCGTGCTCTGATATTCAGAGGCAGAGTGAAGCTGCTTTCAGCAAAAAAGGGCCTGTGAAGGAAAGCATACTGTGTCTGACTTCAGATCAGAAGACTGCAAGATTGGATCCTGCCTGGCCTAAACTCCAGGCCACTGGCTTTTGCACTGAGGCTGTGCACATTTTGTGGCCCTCTTTTCTGCTGGTCTCTCAGTGGAAAGTATTTAGGCAGCCGGAAGCAGGGAGTATCTGCTGGGCTTGATCAGTGGCCATTGTGCTCTGTGTAGTAATAGAAGGTTGCCACTGTGCACAGCAAGGCTCAAACAAGCTTTCATCATCATCATCATCATCATCATCATCACCACCACCACCACACACACACACACACACACACACACACCATTAAATGGTGGCCAGCTCTAACCCTAATCAGCCTGAGCTATGGAAGTCTTCTTCTTGTTGTTTATTAAAATTGTATAATGCCCTATACCTGTAGATCTCAGGGCAGTTTACAACATAAAATCACAATATAAAAAACAGAAAATACATAATAAAAACAAAAACAACCACCACCCAATAATTCCCCTTCCACAGCACATTTTAAAATGGCATCAGATGTCAATCACCCAAAGGCCTGGTTAAAGAGGAATGTGCCAGCCCAACCTCCTTGGGGAGAGCATTCCACAAATGGGGAACCACTGCAGAAAAGGCAGTGGCTTGTTATGCCAAGCCCAAATCCCCCACCGCCCTGGTTCCAGTCCAAAACACATTAGACAGATGCTCTTACTTCATTCAGGCAAGTAACAAGACAGACTCTGCAGGCTTTGCAGCAGGCACAGGACTCAGGAGTCAAAATACAATTGAGGAGTAGCCAAGAAGCTTGGAACTGGATGGAAGTGCCAAGCTTGTGTGGTGTGCTCATGTGCAATACTCTCTCACCTTGTGGGAATATTGAGATTTTGAGGGTCTATTCCCATCTGTGAAAGCAGTGCCTTGTTCTAGGTGAAAAGACTGCATACTTCTGTTCAGGCTGCTTCCGCCTCCTGTTTTGGCCCCTCTGCTAATCAAAGCCCTTCACAGCATCCATTGAGACTCTACTTTGCAAGAAGGTCACAGGGGATAGCTAGCACTCCTGCTTCCTGTCCAAAGCATAGGCGCCATCTCTGAGGGGCCCTGGGTGCCAAGGTACCCACAATTTTTTCAGCTGGGTGCCCCAACGTGGTGCACACATATCACACAGTGTGCTGAGACCTGATGGAGCTCGTCATGCCCTCTGAAAGGCCTGGACCTTTTGGAGGGCACAACAAGCTCCATCGGGCCCATCACGTGGTGTGACATCATGTGCACACCACAGTGCACTAGGTGACATCATGCATACAATGTGTGTGACAGCACATGCACACACCGGGCACCCACAACGTGGGGTGGAATCTGGCATGCCTGCTCCAAAGTGATTGAAGTTGCGGTGGAAAGGGAAGGTCCAACCCAGGTTCTCCCAATTCATCCTCCCTCTATTTCTTCTTCCCCAGTGTGGTGTAGTGGTTAATAGTGATGGACTCGTAATCTGGTGAACCGGGTTTGCTTCCCCACTCCTCCACATGCAGCTGCTGGGTGACCTTGGGCCAGTCACACTTCTCTGAAGTCTCTCAGCCTCACTCACTTCGCAGAGTGTTTGTTGTGGGGGGAGGAAGGGAAAGGAGAATGTTAGCACTTTGAGACTCCTTAGGGTAGTGATAAAGCGGGATATCAAATCCAAACTCTTCTTCTTCTTCCTGCATCAGAGCTTGCTTATCCAAATATGATCCCAACATCACTTCAAAGCTCAGGAGACCCACGTCCTAATTCAATCAGGGCAACACTTTCCCATTCACTAGAGGTTCCATTGCAGCTGCAGCTGTTCTGTTTCATTCTGTTTCAGGCCAGTTAAAGTTCTAAAATCAGCTTGATGCCCATGAACCAACTGGTTCAGTTCTGCTTCACTTAAGAAAATGTAAAGATAAAGCACATTATTATGATTATTTGTGCAATGGAGCAGGGTGAGTTAATAGATCTCAAACTGTTACTGCTGTCAGCAGTAAGAACTACTAAGCGTGCTTGAAATGAAACAAATTTTAAGAACTACAATACATTTGACATTCTTCTATATTCTCATAGTTTAACAATACAGAAACATTTACACAGGTGACAAAGCAACCAACTTGGTTAGTAAAACAATCACAGAACTGTCACCATGAACAACATTACATGCTTCAACTGATTTAACAGAATTGATGTAATAATCTGATACCAGCTCACTTCAGCCATTCAGCATCTGTGGGTACCAAATGCATGGAAGGGCTCTTTAGAGTGGATTGAGTAGCCTTGCACCCTAGATGCCAATATACCGTAGGTGATCCTGGTTGCGAACTTTGCCCTGCGATGCGAGCGGAAGTCGTGCAGCAGTGCAGCAGCAGCGGGAGGCCCCATTAGCGAAAGCGCACCTCAGGTTAAGAATGGTTTTGGCTTAAGAACAGACCTCTGGGACAAATTAAGTTCGTAACTGGAGGTACCACTGTAGTATGGATGTTCTCATACTGCATCTACAAATGTTTAGCTATAACAGGTTCAATGTGGGCACTGAAAGTTTAATTGAATTACTTCTTTTTAAACTGAAATCATAAAATCATCGCTAACATTGGCTGCCACCATTAACACAAGCCCATTTTTTTTAACTTATGTAAACTTCAAAGAATATAAATCTAGTCAGGCTTAGTGCCTGGCTAATACATGCAATTGGTGCTAAAATGAAAGGGACCTTGTGTGCACCAAATGCATGCATGTAAGTGGGAGAGTTTAGTCTAGCCAACACCTAGAAATAAGGAACTTCACAGAGGAGAGCAGAGGAACCAGCAACCAGAGCTGGCCCACCATTGAGACAAAGTGAAGCACCCCCCAGTGGTTTAGCGTTGGCTCCAATTTTGTTGGCACTCCATCACCTGAGTTCTGGAGATGATGGTAATGGGCATATATCCCACACTTTCTGAAAAAAGGCCCATACATTTGCCTAGTGTAGTACTTCTGTACCTGCTCAGAAGGCAGCACTATGGGATTCACAATAGATTAAGCAATGAAGGCTGCACTATGCTGCATTTGTGACCTGAACTGGAGGTAGCAGAATACAAACATCCAGGATATCTGGGGAATCTGAGAAGGTTGCTCCACAGTCTCATCAGTGACATTCAGCATGCTGGTAGGATCCTGTTCTGATTTTATCATCATGTTATAATACCCTTAGGGTTGCCATATTTCAAAAAGTAAATCCCAAAGTTGTTGAGCCTTAGAATGACAGCCCTATTCCACCTTCAAAATAGGGACGGTGGTTCATGGGAGACCATCTGCTTCCAAGCCAAATCTCAGGCATTTCCAGGAAGGTAGGAAGAATGCTGAGCTTGATGAACGAATGGCTCAAAATAAGGCAACTTTCCCCATTCCTAAAATGCTGCTGTTGCCATGGGA